AAAAAAAAAATCGCCTAATTCCATTATGGTGATGGTTGCAGAGCTCTTTAAATATGTTAAAAATCATTGAATTGTACACTCAAAACAGGTTAATTTCATGGTATGTAAATTACATCTCAAGAAAACTGTTAATAAGAAATTAGAGATTCTCTAATTCCATATATGTGGCTCCCGTAAGATATCATCAGAATTTAAGAATAAGGTAAAATCCATCTGCCAAAACCCCCAAACGGAAAATGAATAAAGTTCAATAGATGAGCTCTGCCATTGACTTACACCATCTTAAGAAATGGTCTGTAAAAGAAACCCAGATATTTAGTGCTACTTGAGTAACAGATAAATTAGAGAACTGCATCGGGATAACTGTAAGCTGAGAGCCTAAGAACCAGCCAAGTTCCTCGAGCACAGACAGCACTCAACGGACTCAATTTGCAGGACCAGAGGATTGCTCTCCAGTCCTGCAGTCCCGCTCCCCAAGCAAACGCCCAATCTCACTTCTCCAGAGTGGACGTCTACGAGGAGTGTCCGCCCTCGTTGGTCACTTGGCATCTAACCCCAGATGTGAGTGGGGGATCGGACAAAGCCTAGACTCGAAAAGCTGACGACCCTCCCCGCACTGGCCAACCTGGGGTTACCCCGGACGCTGAGGGAACCACGCGGGCTGGGCTTCAACCTTGGCCGAGCAACAGATTCGCCTGAGAAGGCTTTCAAAACTGTCAGGGTCATCACCCAGTCGCTCCGATTCAGTTTCGGGGTGGGGGCCCTGACGGAGCCGGGGAGCAACAACGCCGGACGCCGCCCCACACTCTGCAGCTCTACCCCCTGCCGGCCAGCCCGACGCCCGCCAAGCTCCCCACGCGGGAGCCGGGCCGGAACGCTCCAGCACAGGTCCTGCGCCCTCCGCCCGCGCTGGCCTCCCGCGCCCGCCAAAACGGTCTCCCGCGAGACCGCCCCTCGGCTCCGCCCCCTGCCCCGCCACCGAAGGGCTGATTCCCTCTTCAGCTGGTTCCCCGCCCACACGAAGGCGAGATCTGGAATAGCTTTTTCCACCAGCCAATCATTTCCGTCAGCCAGTCACCACCAGTTCCTCCGCATCTCCTTCGCCCACTTCCGTCCGCAGTGTCACACGGCACTCGCCCTACAGCCAAGGGTTACCCACGTTCCCGCCTCAGTGGGCTGCGCAGGCGCAACCTGGTTTAGCGGAGCGCAGGCGCAAACTTGCGAACAGCTGTACGGAAGAGGAATGGATGGTTCCGCGCGTTCTTGGAGGGAGTGGCTCCTCCAGTTTGGCTAAGTCCTCAGTGGAAGCTTGAGTAGGAGTGCTGCACAGGAAGGTGGAGTTCGCCTCTGCAGCCGCACTTGTCGCTAGGGTGTGTTGGAGCGCAGGTAAAGGTTCAGAGTAGGGAAGGGGCCCTAATAGCCTTTGTTTCACGGAAGGAGACTTCTGTAGTTGGAAGTTACGAGTCTGGTAGACTGGGGAGGAGGGGTTGTTCCCACCTTGTCGAACCTGCACACAGCCGTCTTGCCCCTGAGGAAAGAGTCGCCGGGCAAGAAAGTACCTGGTGGCTGCCTGCTGGCTCCTGTACTTATGTGGCAGCAAGCTCCATTAATCTGACGCGAAAATGTTTCTGCCAGGATAGTTGGGGATGCCTGGAATCTAGAGTCGAACTCAGAAACCCAAACCTTATTTCCTCTAAGAAAATTCGAGTTCAGCCCAGGACCTGATCAAGGGTTACATGGCAGGTTAGAGACAGATTTCAACAAGAACTGAAGTCTTCTTGCACGCCATTGCTATTTTCCACCGTGCTGAGTGGAACACATGCTAAATGGAGCTCCATAAATTTACCATTTCTCCTCAAACTTGCTGTCCTCCATATGTCGTCTCCCCAGTCTTGGACCTAGGGTCAGTTTCTTGTATGGCCCCCTAGAAAATTCAGCATTCCAGTTGACCTCTCCCTGTCCCACACCTGAAGGAGATCTAAATGCTTAAACTAGTGGATCTGGTTGTCATGTTTACTTTTGGTCATTTGGCTAGTTTCCAGTTTGGGGCAATTATGAACAATGCTGCCATGAATAATTTTGTAAATGTCGTTTTGTAGAATATACATACATATTTCTGTTACCTATATATGTAGGAGTGGAGCTGCTAGTTCATAAGGCATGCCTGTGTTCAATTTTAGATGCAAACTGTGGGAGGTTTCTAGAATAATGGCTCCCTAAAAGTGTGCTTGTCCTACTCTCCGGAACCTGTGAGTATATTGGGCTACATGGCAAAAGAGAATTAAGGTTGCTAATCAGCTGACCTTAAAATAGGGAGATTATTCTGGATTGTCCAAGTGGGCCTAATGTAATCACAACGATCCTTAAAAGAGGAGGGAAGCAGGAGGAGGAGAATAACAGAAATAGTCGTATGAAAAAGACTGGGCGGACTTCATGACCTGGCTTTGAAGATGGAAGAAGGAGGCAATGCGCCAAGAAAGTGGGCATCTTCTAGAAGACGGAAAAGACAAGGGAATGGATTCTCCCCTCCCCAGAAGGAACTTAGCTCTGAGACCTCCAGAAATGTAGGATAATAAATATTTGTTTCAGCCACAAAGTTTGTGATAATTTGTTACAAACTGATAACACTGCCAAACTTTTCCAAAGTAATTTTATCAATTCATACACTTTGAGAGCTTTGAAAAAAAATGTCCATACTTTACCCTCACACCACACTCACTGAACTGGAATCTCTGGATAAGCCCAGAAAATGATTTTTTAATTAGGTGATTCTGCTGCATCTTGAAGGTTGAGAACTATTTGTCTAAGTCCTTAAATCTAAATTCATTTCTCATCATTGAAGAACAGAGTGGCAGCGATTTGGCCACAAGATAAAAGCAGTTCTAGAAAAGATTTGTTCCAGGTAGTGGAAGGGTTCCTCTCCCTTGTCTGCTCAGAGTTAACATAGCTAATCTTTTACAGTTAACTCGTTGAACAATCAGTTTCTACTAATACAATTCATAAAGGAGCATTAAGACTAAGGACTCTGTACTTGCAGAAGATTTTTCTTTAACGTGCGTATGAAGTGGCTCCTTGAGACACTGCCGCATCTTGGCACGTTCACCTTCATGGAGAACTTGACCCCAAGAGCTGACAGTACTTGCAATTCCTCAAAAAGAAGGAGCTGGAGAAGTGGGGAAACAGCTAGCCTGGCTCGTTGAGTTGTGCAGTCCTTCCAGCTCTTTGTGCTGAGGCCGCAGCAGGCAGCTGACCCTTGGGCCATGACCCTGGGGAATCCTGAACAAGAAGGTGGTTTTCTTAAGAGATTGGGCTGCAGGTGGAGGCTCTGGACAGGGTGTCCCTTCATTTCCTCAAGGATATTCTTCAGAAGAAAGGTAAGTGAACTTCTTACATTGCATCCAGGGATCCTGGAGTCAACTTACTTGGTAGTGATACCACCAACTGCTGGGCCCCCCTTGGCAACAAATTCAAAAGTCCTGAGAAGCCCTGGGCAGTTTTCATTAAAAATATGTCATCTAAAAAGAAACGAAATTGAGTTACTTGTAGTGAGGTGGATGGACTTAGAGTCTGTCACACAGAGTGAAGTAAGTCAGAAAGAGAAAAACAAATACCGTATGCTAACATATATATGGAATCTAAAAAAACAAAGGTTATGAAGAACCTAGGGGCAGGACAGGAATAAAGATGCAGACGTAGAGAATGGACTTGAGGACACGGGGAGGGGGAAGGGTAAGCTGGGATGAAGTGAGAGAGTGGCATGGACATATCTACGCTACCAAATGTAAAATAGATAACTAGTGGGAAGCAACCGCATAGCACAGGGAGATCAGCTCCGTGCTTTGTGACCACCTAGAGGGGTGGGCTAGGGAGGGGGGGGGGGAGATGCAAGAGGGAGGGGATATGGGTATATATGTATATTTATAGCTGATTCACTTTGTTATACAGCAGAAGCTAACACAACATTGTAAAGCAGTTATACTCCAATAAAAATGTTTTATATATATATATATATATATATATATATATATATATATCATCAAAAGGAATGAAGAGTGAGCCAGTGTTCAAACTATAAACTAGTAGGAGCTAACAGTTCAAGTACTTTCCTGACTGGTGTCAAATGTCAGTTTCCCTTTAAAATTTGAAATACTCCATGGCATGCTGAGCTCCAGAGTGCCTTGGCACACATTTGAGACCTATGGCTCTCAGTTTAGAAGTTGTTCTCATCTTTTCCTTGAATGAGTATTCAAGATAACCATTTTCTTCCAAAGTGTTACTTTTATAAGGTCCAGTGTAACTTCACACCTTCCACCCTGAAGATCCCTCTAAAACTAAGCCCCACAGGAGTCCTTTTCAATTGACCACAGCAGGCGCTGAGTGTCCACTCTGGCCTGTTCAGATTCTGACCTGTTCCTACAGAGGACATCTTGGATAAATCTAAAACTACCTTGGAAGATGAGCAGTTTCCTATTCTAAATGAAAAAAATTAGAGATTATATATTTTAAAACAGTCCATTAACTTAGATATCGGCCTACATCTAGGAAAACTGGCAGACACTATTAAATACTAAGAAAATTTAAAACACAATATAGTCTATTGCACATTTTTAAGAATTCTTAATGACTTTCCTACCCTTCAACATTTCATATCTGATTTTCAAACTTTCAGTTCATCAAATAGATAAGATAGATTCAAATTATAGAATATAACTTTACCTAGATTCATAAGGGGGTATAACCAAAAAACCACTCATTCTAGAAACAGGCCATTAACTATAGATATAAATATTCCAACTAAGAACAAGTTTTGATTAATATCCTGCTTAAAATACAGTTAATAAATATAATTAGATACTATACATTACAATTAACAATCCAGACTAGACCACAAGTAAATGTACAAAACAAGATTACAACAAAGAAAAGCTAATTGCCAAATATCAAGGGAGAGAAGAGATTTAAGTGAAAAGTTTCAAATGTGTTTTATTCATAACATAGCCATATTCAAGATGCTGGAGGAAATGTCCATGTCTGCTGAGTTCTGGTTGGCAGAAATTCTTTATTCATTATCCTATTCAGTCTCACACGCAGAAGCAATCTTTGATTTGTCAGAGGCTTCATATACTTGTAATAAGCCTTAGGTGATTGATGATTTTCTTGTCTGCTGTTTTCATGTTAAATCCCAACATCTTCTTAATAGTTTCTCAAAAGTCAACAAGCTACAAAGAACCACAAAAATCAAGACGTGTCATTAGTTTTGCTCACCTACTTAACTATGTACAATGAAATTGTTATTAGAAATTTAGTTTTATTAAACATTTCTTTATGAAGTGTACATTATTCTACGTTCAAATGTATTTTTAAGCAAAAAAAATTACAAGAAATCTAAAATTACCTTTGCATTTTAAGATTTGTTTTTATTTTTACAATCTTATAGACTAAACCTAATTTTATTGCTGCTTGTTTTTCATCCATGAGGTAATTATTTTTTGGACTTCTGATTTGCTGTAGGTAATAGCTGTCCCCTAAATACATATCTCTCCACCCATTCTCTAAAAACTATAGTGATCAACAAGGAGAGCAGATAAAACTCTCCATAAATCATGCCTAAAGCGTAAGTAAAGAATACCACAGACTCCAGTTTTCATATAAGTGGGGAAATAAATATTCTAAACCAACAGAGGCAGCTCCAGAGCCCACGCTGGAGTATGCAGTTAGTTTCCTCTGGTGTCCTGGAAAAGGGACAGTTCATAAAGGGGGAAATACAAAGAACAAGTCTGAGACCTGATGAATCAGAATACCGGCAACTGGGGAAGGAAAAGAAAGGGGCTTAGAAGCATTTGAGAGCAGAAATGGCCGATCTACAGGGCAAGGTTTCTGAGCAGAGAGGGAGCTACTTGGAAGGGTGAGGTGTTCCCTAGAGGCTTCGTGCCAAGGGAAAAGAAAAAAAGCAAGCACTGGAAATTAAGGGACCTATATAAACAAGAGAGTATTGCAAAAACAGACATCACATAAACCCCCACCCCAAAATAAAAGGCTTTACTTCCTAAGTAAACTTTGGCAACTGCACTCACCGTGTCAACAGAAGAGGGTGGTACTGAGTTAAGAAGCCTCGTAAGTATACCCTGCCCCCTAAGTACCCTGAGGTAGAAACACCTGAAATTGAGAGGGCAGGGCAATCAAAGGGATTTTAAAGTGAATAGATAAATGGCAAATATCCATTTTAAATTGTTATGAGAAGAAAACAGAAAAGCAGTATCATCCAAACTGTTCAGGTGGTGAAAATACTACCCCCAGAAAAACTGCCATGAAGCAGAGGCAACATGTTTGACAACACCTGATATGAATTAAATATCAATTAAACAAGGATTTGCAGACATGGGGAAAAAACACCTTTTGAATCAGAAATGCAATAATTTGGAGGGACTTCCCTGGCTGTCTAGTGGTTAAGACTCTGCACTTCCACTGCAGGGAACAGGGGTTCGATCCCTGGTCGGGGAACTAAGATCCAGCATGCTGCCGCAGCCAAAAAAAAAAAAAAGCAATAATTTGGAATAGAAATGGACAAAAAAAATACCTAGATGCCTAATGGATAAGAAAGATGTGATGATTAAACACAAGCAAGAACAAGACATCTCAGAAATGAAGAGTAAACTACAGAATGCCCAAAGAAGAGATCAGAATGAAAATATAATAAGGGAGGGACACTGAGAGAATAAAAACAATTAAGAAAAAGAATATGCAGAAGTTAAAAAAGAGAAAAAAAGAAAATGGTAATATCATGACTTTTGGTTTTAAGAATCTCTTAAGGAAATTTGTTAAAGTTTCATGTTTCTTGGGCTTCCCTGGTGGCGCAGTGGTTGAGAGTCCTCCTGCTGATGCAGGGGACACGGGTTCGTGCCCCAGTCCGGGAAGATCCCACATGCCGCGGAGCGGCTGGTCCCGTGAGCCATGGCCGCTGAGCCTGCGCATCTGGAGCCTGTGCTCCGCAACGGGAGAGGCCACAACAGTGAGAGGCCCGTGTACCCCCCCCCAAAAAAAGTTTCATGTTTCTTAAGAAACATGTATGGAGGTGTGACATGTAATCCCACAATAGCCCCAAATTATCATTTAGGCTTTAGAAAATTCTCTTAAAATATCTGCTTTATAAATCTAGTGAGAATCTAAGCAAGTTTAGAGGCACTACCCTGTTGTCCAAAAAAGTGATCCAGCCCTACAAAAATGGTTTCCCCTTAACTTTCATTTTCTCTCATCCCTACCCTGCTTGTCTTTGGTTAGTCAGAGGACCTGTACACAAACCTAAGCTATGATAATCATATATCCCATCCCTTGCCACTGTGAATTCACTAAGGATAGGCATTTGACCTAAGCTGGGCTTGTAAGACCCTTTCTTGGGATTCTCTCTCCTGTCACAGAAAATCTTAACTGTAAAATTCTGTGGCTGTCAGCCAGACAGACAAGTTGACAGAGAGCTGCCAAGAAGAATGTGAGAAAGGTCTTATATTGAAGATTCCAGGTGCTAATCCGTGGCCCAGGTGCATCCCTGCCTTCTCAGAGCTCTGGTTGTTTAACTGCCTTTGATTCCACAAGCCTATCAATTCTCTTTTGTCTAAGGTAGAGTCTAAATTGAGGTGGGTGTTTATCACTTCAACTTAAATAATCTTAATATAGTAATTTAAAAAAAACACACCTCTTCTTGTTGTCCCGGTACTTCTTCAGGTGTGCTCTTTGCTGTGCAGAGCTCAGGAGTGACAGTTTCTAACATTTGATGGGCCCTCTCTTTGTCCCACCTTGCATCTTGCTCAGCAGAGTCTACTGTAGTTTCCAAGTCTGTTTCCATAACTGCCTTCCCTTTCATTGCTTCAACTTTTGTTAAAGATTGCCTGAGCTTCTCAATTGTTTTGTCCTGTGAGGGTATAAGTTTGGGGGAAAGGGAGATGACTGATTAAAATTCCTCTAAATAACAGGCATGATACATAATAACTCATGCTTTTTTCTTCTTCTTTTTCTTTTTTCTTTCTTTCTTTTTTTTGGAAGAGCTAGATAGTGGAAAAGAAAGAAAATTCCACAACTTATGAATTAAGAGGACATTTCTCCACCATCATGCTCATCAATAACCAACAGTTACTGAGCACTTTTATAAACTAGGCACTTGGGATTTAAAGAGGTTTAACACATGTTCCATGTCCTCAAAAGTCTTATAGTCTGTGCTAATCAAACACAGAAATAGAGAAAATAACTGGCTGCAATAAGAGAAATATTCTTGATAATCAACTGGCAAAAAAAAAGTTGATCAGTAAGTATCTAGTGTATATTTGGTTTCAGGCATAAAATGTATGTTTGAAATACTACGACTGGAGCTTGATATAGAGAAGATCCAAAGAGCATCCCCCCAAAAATCACTAAAACTTTTACCATTAACCCAATAAGAAAGACAAAAGTATGACTGAAACAAAAAGCAAGGGATCTAGATACCTAACATTTAGAATACCGGTTACCTTTGAGGAGGATACCTGGGGGCTTCAGTGGGATTGATAATACTCTGATTCTTAACATGAGTGGTAGATTTGTAGCATCTAATTTTATTATTCTATATGCTTTAATATTATATATATATATTCTTTTATATGTATGTAAAATAATTTTAATGTTAATTTTTCAAGTTCAAGGAGAAACATGCAGCAAAAATAGAAACAGACCAAAGCTTAAGTGAATATTTGAAAGTCTCATTTTTTTACTTACTTTAAGGACATTTACTCTTGTCAGTTGAGTTTTCATAGCTCTATTTGACAATTTAAAGTCACTGAGCTGTTTCTGAAGTTTATGAATTTTCTCCTCTAATCTTTGAGTTGTAGCAACCTTCAAATTCTGCTGAATTTTCATTAATGTTTCTTGCTTGTTGTCTTTCTCTAGCTGCTTGAATGTTTTGCCATGCTCCATCTGGGAAATCTTAGTCTGGGAGTTTTCCTTTACAGAAATCAACAGTATTAGAATTAAGAAGTTATGCTTTAAGATGGTGTTCTACAGTAGCATACCAGATCTACTCTACACTGACCAACTGTAGACTTAATTCTTACATAAGTAGAATAGTTTTCACCATAAATATGCATTATTAAAATAATCCAGAAAATAAAATATGACAATAAAAGTGATGGCTTAAGGCTAACAAGGGTACAGTTAAGTAGACAATGTTATAAACACCAGGTGATAGTAGAGATTAGTTCAACTTTTCTAGGAATGTATTATAAGGAAATAATAAAATATTTAGATAAAGACTCAAGCACAAAGATATTCTATACAACATTATTCATAACATGAAGAAATAAGAACAATGCAAATGTCAAAAAAATAGTTAAAGTAAATTACATGTGATTGACTATACATTCATTATAAATAAAGTTTTCAAAAATATTTACTAAGAGAAAGTACTAATGATAGAGTTAAATGACAGAAGCAGGATGAAGAAAAAATATGCTATCTCAATTATGTTAAAATATTCTTGGAAAATAATCATAGGAAGATATACCTATATGTTAACACTGGTTATCTCAAAGTGGTAGAAATACTGATTGTTTTAATTGTATTCTTTCTACTATTCTGTACTTTATAAAGTTACTACCAGAAAAAAAAAAGAGAGAGAGAGAGAAGAGGTGTCGATTTAATAAAGGTACCACATATTTTCATTATATACAAACTAAAAATTAGTAAAATATATTGAAAAGAACCACTAGTTCTTTCAAAAAAGGAAACAGATACTCCAGGCAAGACTGGTTAAAGGAGGAAGAGAAAGTGAAAATACACAGTATTAGGAAGGAGATATATACAAAACTAATGTACATATATTAATTTTATTAAGAGAAAAAAGTTATTAGAAGACAATGGAGTAATGCCTTCAAATCTCTGTGTGAAAATAAATTCAACTATCAATTGAGCCTGAAGTTTAAAAAAAAATTAGCTTTCAACAAAATTCAACACACATTTAAGATAAAAACCCTGCAGAAAGTAGGCATAGAGGGAACTTTCCTCAACATAATAAAGGCCATGTATGACAAACCCACAGCCAACATTGTCTTCAATGGTGAAAAACTGAAAGCACTTCCACAAAGATCAGGAACAAGACAAGGTTGCCCACTCTCACCACTCTTATTCAGCATAGTTTTGGAAGTTTGAGCCACAGCAATCAGAGAAGAAAAGGAAATAAAAGGAATCCAAATCAGAAAAGAAGAAGTAAAGCTGTCACTGTTTGCAGATGACATGATACTCCACATAGAGAATCCTAAAGATGCTACCAGAAAACTACTAGAGCTAATCAATGAATGTGGTAAAGTAGCAGGATACAAAATTAATGCACAGAAATCTCTGGCATTCCTATACACTAT